AGACTTATTGTGATAGGCTGATGATGTAATGTTGAAGGGTAATATAGAGAAAACAAACCCCTCAATTACCAGTTAGGGAATCCAACAAGAAAGATAATCATAAGGTCCTGTTCTTGTCTTGTGTACAAAGAAACCCAAGCATCAAGTAAAAGATGGGGATCTAGGACCAACCACAGCCCACGTGGAAACCATGGGGGCTCCTAGTCAACTCCAAGTATGAGCAGATCATGGGTTCTGTGGCCTCCAAAGACAGCTTTTGTGATCCTGAGTGTACCTCCTGAAACACCCTGTAGCACACTTAATATCAAGAAGCCAAGATTTTCTCTGGTCTAGCCAAGCTACATCCGATGAGCTTATTTAGTTAATCCTTAAACAAAGGTAGAACAAATCCGGAGGACAGAAATCAGTTCAGCAAAGAAACTAACACCATTTCTTTGAGGAATTGCTAAACTGAATGTTGGGGAGGAGGATGCTATCTCTGGAGAGGATCTAGAAGGGGACATTCTCAGTAAGCCAGCACTCAACTACCAGGAGACAGAGTAAGACTTATGGAAGAACTTTCTAATCACTGGAGTTACCCTGGAGCAACAAGCACATCCTGGCATAGGTTTAAGTTATTCCTCAATAAAAGTGTACTTTAATATATGTAAGTTATAACTCAAGAAAAAAATTATTGTGGGGGTGGGTATGTGAAGAGAAAATTTTATAGCCAAATACCCATGTAGCATCCATGGGATGAATGCCAGGATGTCATGTTTTCATCTTATTTAGTTGAGAAAATTGTATTTCTATTGTGATTTATTCTTTGACCCATAATTATTTACTAATTTTTTTCTTCATTGAGAAATTTTAAAAAGATACAGAAAACAGCACAAAAAGTGGAGCTTAATAAAGTTTTTTAAGGTAAACACCCCTTAAAACCAACATCCAAGTCAAAAAATGGAATTTTTTTCTGGCCATTTTCATGCCCCATGTGCATCATTCCAATTACAATCCTTTTCCTCCCCTAAAATCAACTATTATCCTGATCTCTATAGTAATCACCTCTCTGCATTTTTAATAATTTTATTTATCCAAGTGTACATTCCTAAATAGTTTTGCCTGGTTTTTGTTTTATTTAATATGTCTTTTACATTTCTTAAACAATAGGCTTCCTCCTGTCCATCCTTTCCTTTTTTCATTAGAATGTACTTATTGGAGAAAATGGGCCCTTTGACCTATCGTTTCTGAAGTCTGGATTTCGTGGACTGTATGCTCGCAATGTAGTACAATATACTCCTCTGTCCTCTGTGCTTCCTGCAAACTGAAAGATGGATCCTGAGGTTTTATTCAGAGTTGTTTGGCAAGCCTATCAGTAGTATTGTGTTCTTTTTATCAGGAGGCACATAATGTTTAATTGCCTTTCTTTTTAAGATGTTGGCACCTGTCACTACTCAATATTTAGATGTATTAATTCATTGAGGGCTGCTGAGTGATTGCATTAAAATTCTGTAATTTCTTTTTTAAAAGTGTCTTTATTAAACCTACATTTTTGGTAGGTATTTTCCCTGGATATAGAATTCTAGGTTGGCCGGTTTTAATTCTCTAAGCACCTTAAAGATTTCATTTTATTATATTCTGGCTTCCATAATTTGGCCATCTTATTGTTGCTCATTATAGATGATTTGTGTATTTTCTCAGGCTGCTTTTGGGCTTTTTCTCATTATCTTTTGCCTCTAATAGTTTGACGTATGATGTGCCTAAGTGTATTATATTTATCCTGTTTGTGGTTACAGTTTCTTGAATCTGAGAATTAGTCTAGTTCATTTGTTTTAGGAAATTCTTTTAGTTATTGTCTCTTCATATATTGCTTCTGTTTTATTTTCTCTTTCTTATCCTCCTGGGACTTCAATTTCATATATGCTAGATCACCTGCGCTCTACTTGTCTCTTACACTGTTCTGCTCTTTCCATTCTCTGTTAAATGAAGTTATAATCCAATGAGACTGGTGTCCTCATAAGAAGAAGGGACACCAGTGATGTGTGTGCACAGAGAAAAGGTCATGTGAGCACACAGGGAAAAGGTGGTCATTTGCAAGCCAAGAGAGGCCTCAGGAGAATCAAACTTGCCAGCACCTTGTTCTTGTACTTCTAAGCTCCAGAACTGTGAGAAGATACAATTTTGTTGTTTAAGTCACCCATTTTGTGGGATTTTGTTATCGCAGCCCTAGCAGACTAACACAGAGACTAAAGCTGATTTCCTCCATATGGCATTTACCCATTCTACTCTTGAGAAAATAAAGTAAGGGGTTGACCATTCTCAATTTAATCAGAAGGAACTAGGTCAGCGCTGGGTTGCTTCTTTAGTAGGAATGCGTCTACTTCTGGTTTCAGATGTCTCAAAGTCAAGACCTGGAGGGTGCTTGTTGCAGGTGCCTTTCTCTAACTGGAGTCTGTGTCCTAAGCACCAGGAAATTACAGGATAGTTCACTCAGCCTTCCTGGTCCAGCCCCATCCTCGACTGTAAGCCTCTTAGGCTTTTTTTTTTTTTAATCAATCCCTATGCCCAATGTGGGGCTCGAACTCACAACCCTAAGATCAAGAGTTGCGTGCTCTACAGACTGAGCCAGTCAGGTGTCCCACCTCTTGGGCTTTTAGTGGAGAGTCTGACAAGTCTCTGTTGTCCTCTGCTCTGAATGTTCTGTCCCTTGGAGATTTTAAGCTTAGTTCTTTATTCTCCTTCCCCTGGGCAGGTTCAAAATCTGGCAAAAGCTCCATGGAGCAGACCCCTCGCACTGGGGGGGAGGGGGACTTTGTCTCCAAAACACTGTGTTAACGTGGGACCTGCATTCTGCCTCTCCAGCCCAATCCCATAGCTCCCAGGACAACCCCAGCACTTAGCAAATGTCCTACAGGGAAGATTGGCCATGTGGTTGGGGCACCTCTAGATTCTACTCTGTCCTATCAACCCATGTGGCCATTGCAAATTCTGATTTCTTCTGACCCCAGCTGCAGCCCAATCTGCAGCCTCCATGCAGAAGCCCCTAGAAGAGACGATGGTCCGCACCTCCGAGTGGGCTAGAGGGGCTCTTCCTTCTTCAGAACTTGAGTTCTTCTAGCACACTTTGTTACCACACCTCTCTGACACCTTTATGGTTTTTGTGATGTAACCACATTGTAGTTATTGCAGTGTGAGCCACCCACTGCATCCTCTGGGGGATCTGAAGTCCTACAAGTCCTTTTTTAATAGAAATTTTACATCGTTCTTTTTTCCTCCTTGAAATAATATTTCCACATTACCTATTCCACACCCCCCTCAGTTTTTTTGCACCTTGGAGGTTTTTATACCTCACAGCAATGCACCATGTGCTAGGGTTCAAATGGTCAGAAATTTGTGGAGTATTTTTGGTTTTCCGGGGGTTTTTTGTTTTTTGTTTTTTCTAAAGTGGAAGAAAGGTAAAGGGGAAGTGGAAAAGGAGAATGGGTACTCTCTTAGGAACACTGATTTTATGAAAGAATACATACAAAATTTGAGAATCTAGAACTGGAGTTCCTTTAAAGCAGCTGTGCCTAGAAAACCCTTGGAAAGTCTGGGTGTCCATTTCCCAGTTTTAATATTGGAATCCTAAATCAGCTATGAGGTCCCTGCCAACCCAAAGACTGCATAGTCATCTATACTTAAAAAGTCAGCCCACTGTGGGCCATACCTTAAACCAGTACAAAAATAAGCTGGGAGAGGAAAAAAATCTGTAATACTATTGCTGATTCTTCCCTATTCTCTCTTTATACAAACGTGAAAAAGATTCCAGAGAACAGCCCCAGGAGAAGGAGGTTATCCACTTTCTATTTTAAAAATCAAATTGACTTAATAATTAAAAGCTTTTAAAGATCAGGTAAAAGATAAAATTAAGCCCAAGGATTAATTCTCAGATAATCAATCTATAAGATTAGGGGGTAGGAAACGTAATAGTCTACTGCTAAAATACCACTTTTGTTCAGCTAGACCGCTGCTGTCCCATCTGGTTGGGCTTCACAGGTAAGCTGCTTCACTCATGCTTTCCAAATTCCAGAAGGGGAAAAAGGCCTTTTGAAAATTGTTTAGTAACCAGACCACAGAAATAGGATAGTTACATCAAAAGTGGGCTTCAACAAGTTTTGAAAGGCAGATGTTTGGTAACAAATATTGTTAATTCAGCAATAGGCAAGCCAACAACTTCCCTAAACATTGAGCACTAGACGAATTTTATGTAATACACTTGGCACAGTCCTCTATTACTTTCCTAATGGCCATTTTCCAGTTTGATGCCATGTATCACCTGGAGCAGATGGTATATTGAGCTGTCCTGAGAATAAAAAATAGACATTTTTCTACCAGTAGGAAGCAACCAGTGTGAGACTCAACTGAGCACGTGAAGACACTATTATCAAGAATGAAGAATGATCCATGCTGTTTGAAAGCTGATGGCCTAGATCCAAATTTATGGAAAGATGCAGGCATTTTTCAGAATACATCTAGAGATATGATGAACTCTTTCTTCCTAATTTCTTTGATATCTGGGGTCAGCCAAACCCCAGGGAGTAAACTTGTCCATCAACAGTTTCCCTTTAGTTAACATCATCAGGGAGGCCAAAGGAAAGGAAGAGACCCTAATAACTCTTTGTAGAAAAATAAACAAGAATCTGCAGATGGATAAAAAGGAAAAGCAAGATAAAAATATTCCAGGTGTGAAATAGGAGAGAGGAAAATGGGCATAATGGAGATCCATGAAGTCTAAAGAAAAGTTCTTAGGAGAAAGAAATCTGAGCATCACTGTGTCAGTAAGGGTCTGTATGAAGGTTATAGTGAAATCTGGCTTCTAATTTTTATGTTTAAATTTCCCTTGGTCACTTTTCTGATAAACTTACTACATTAAAAGAGAAATATCATCCTCTATTTCTACAAATCAGTCCTTTCAGGGTACAACATGCCAAAGGTCAACAGAGCCAACATTAGCAGTAGGTTCATACTAGGGATATACTCACCTGCTTCTGGATCTGCAGGAATTCTCCACATGTACAGGTTAAAGTCATCAGAGCCTGAAAGGATATACTGTTGGGATTAAAAAAAAAAAAATACATATTTATTATTTATATCTTGATTGATTGATAAAATATCTACATCTATCTACCTATCTATATAAAGATTTTTAAAAAAATAAACGAGACAAAAAAAATAAATAAACAAGACAAATGGGCATATATTCATAAGGCACCATGCACAGCAAATACCCTCTTTAAAGTATTTGCCAATTAAAAGGTCCATTGGCTAAAATTCAGCAACAAAAACCAAACAACCTAATTAAAAAATGGGTAAAGGACTTGAATAGACATTTATCCAAAGAAAATATATAAATGCCTAATAAGCACATGTAAAGATGATCAGCATCACTAATCATTAGGGAAATGAAAATCAAAATCATGGGGTGCCTGGGTGGCTCAGTTGTTAAGCGTCTGCCTTCGGCTTGGGTCATGATCCCAGGGTCCTGGGATCGAGCCCTGCATCAGGTGCCCTGCTCGGCGGGAAGCCTGCTTCTCCCCCTCCCACTCTCCCTGCTTGTGTTCCCTCTCTCACTGTCTCTCTGTCAAATAAATAAAATCTTTAAAAAAAAAAAAATTCAAAATCACAACGAGATAGCATTTCACAGTCATTGGGATGGCTAATACCAAAAAAACAAAAACATAACAAAACAGAAAACAAGTGTTGGCAAGGATGTGGTGAAACTGAATCCCTGTGCATCACCGGTGGGAATATATAATGGTGCAACCACTATGGAATACAGTATGGAGGTTCCTCAAAAAGTTAAACATAGAACTACCATATAACCCAGCAATTCCACTCGTAGGTATATGTCAAAGAACTGAAAGCAGGAACTTGAGGTATCTGTATACCAATGTTCATAAAAGAATGCTTACAGTAGCCAAATGTGGGTATAATCCAAATGTCCATCAATGGATGAATGGATAAATAAAAGGTGTTATATACATACAACAGACTATTATTCAGCCTTAAAAAGGAAATTCTGACCCTTGTTACAATATGGATGAATCCTGAATGCATTATGCTAAGTGAAATAAGCCAGATACAAAAAGACAAATATTGTATGGTTCAACTTATATGAGGTGCCTAGGGTAGTCAAATTCATAGAGACAGAAGGCAGAATGGTACTTGCCAAGGACTAGGGGGAGAAGGACTGGGGAGCTGCTGCTTAATGGGTATGGAGTTTCAGTTTAGGAGGATGAAAAAGTTCTGGAAATGGATGGTGGTGATGGTTATACAACAATCTGAATGCAGTTAATGCCACAGAACAGCACACTTAAAAATGATTATAATGGAAAGTTTTGTTATGTGTATGTATGTGTATATACATATATTTAAGATTTTTATTATTGAAGCATAGTTGACATACAATGCTACATTAGTTTCAGGTGTACAACATAATGATTTGACATTTCTACAAATTATTCAATGCTCACCACGGTAAGTGTAGTTACCATCTGTCACCATACACCATCACAGTATTATTGACTATTCGCTATGCTATACTTTGCCATCTCTGTGACTTATTTATAACTGGAAGTTTGTGCCTTTTAATCCCCTTCACCTATTTCACCCATCTCCCCAACACCCTTCCCTCTGGCAACCACCAATCTGTTCTCTGTATTTATAAGTCCGTATCTGGGTTTTGTTTGTTTTGGTATTTAGATTACACACATAAGTGAAACGATATGATATTTGTCTTTCTTTGACTTATTTCACTGAACATAATACCCTCTAGGTCCATCCACATTGTTGCAAATGGCAGGATCTCATGCTTTTTTATGGCTGACTCACATTCCATATACATATACATATACATATACCACATCTTCTTAATCCATTCACCTCTTGATGCACACTTGGGTTGCTTCCATAGCTTGGCTACCTTAGTAAATAATGTTGCAAAAAACACAGGGGTGCACATATCTTTTCAGATTAGAATTTTCGTTTTCTTTGGGCAAATACCCAGTAGTGGAATTACTGGATCATATGGTAGTTCTATTTTTAATTTTTCCAGGAGCCTCCATACGGTCTCCACAGTGATTGCTATGTTATGTATATTTTATCTCAATTTTTCAAAAAAAACTTCTAATGCAGAACAAAAAATTAGGGGCTCCCCAGAGATCTTTTTTCAAGTGTAAGCATCCTGAATGTCCCTGCTGTCAACTGACATCTTTGAACAGGAAGCCATCGCCAGTCCAGCCATGAGTTAGTGCTAGGGGCATAAGCAATCCCCTTTTATGTGGCAGCTTCAAACTACTTGATCTCAAATAGAACACTGAGCCAGACTGATCTAATTAGGACTTAAAAAAGCACTGCCTAACATTGTCTAACAGCAACAAGTCACCAACCCTGACAGCTCATTTATTTGCAAAGATTAACAAAAGTGTATTACTTTAAGTTGAAGTCAGCACTACTTCCTTTTGGTGTCATCTCCTTATTTCCCTAGAAAAAGAAAGGCCTACAGTTTTCTTCTTCTTCTTTTTTTTTAAGAGAGACGAGGAAGGGAGGGGCAAAGGGAGAGAGAGAGAATCTTAAGTAGGCTGCACGCCCAGCGCGGAGCATAACGTGGGGCCCGATCTCACAACCCTGAGCCCATGACTTGAGCCGAAATCAGGAGCTGGACACTTAACTAACTGAGCCATCCAGACTACCAGGGCCTACAGTTTTCTAGAGAAAACTTTTTACTTAAAAATGTCACCATGAACAATTCCAAAAACTGTTAAGTTCAACTTACACACAACCTCATGCCTAATACAAATACTTTACAATAATTAAAAATCAATTCATCAGTCTTCAAAATACTTGTAGGAACATGAGAGAGGAGGCAAAGAAAGACATATTTAAAGATAAAGAAAATGCTATCCACAGGGTTAGGTGATTTAGCCCAGGGCACAGTGGAAAAAGAAATGGGTCCAATTTTCTCATCTGCTTGCTCTCTGTTATTATTGTCTGAATGTTTGTATTCCCCACCAAATACACATGTCGAAATCCTAATGCCCAATGTGATGGTGTCAGGAGGTGGGGCCTTTGGGAGGTGATTAGATCATAGGGTAGAGCCTTCATGAACAGAATTAGCACTCTTACTAATAAGAGACCCAACAGAGGTCCCCAGGTGCCTTCCGCTCTGTGAGGACACAAAGAGAAGTCCACAGTCTGCAACCCGGAAGACGGCCTTCACCAGAACCCAACCATGCTGGTACCCTCATCTTGGGACTTTCAGCTTCCAGAACTGTGAGAAAGAAATTATTGTAATTTATAAGACACCCAGTCTGTGCTATTTTGTTATAGCAGCCATAATAGACTAAGACACTCTCTGAAGCTCATTTAATTCTAAGATTCTATGCTTCCTCTGAAAAGGAATGGGGGAAATCAGATCAGAGCTAAAAGTCTCTAAGCTGCTGGCTCATGGTTACTTGACAAGTCACTACATAAATACGCTCAAGACAAGGAAACCCAAAGACTAATCCCACAAGACTTCAATTGAAAAGTTTCCTTAACAACATCAAAAAACAACTTGATTTTAAAAATGGGCAAAGGACTTGAATAGACATTTCTCCAAAGAAAAAAATATGTAATGGTCATACACAAATGGCCAATTAACACATGAAAAGATGCTCAACATCACTAATCATTAGGGAAATGCATATCAAAACTACAATAAGATACTATCTCACACTTATTAGGATGGCTTATATCAAAAAACCCCAGCAAGTAGTTCCTCAAAAAATTAAAAATAAAATTACCACACGATCCAGCAATTCCACTTCTAGGTAAATACGCAAAAGAACTGAAAAGAGGATCTGTAAGGGATTTTTGTACACCTGTTTATAGCAGCATTATCACACTAGCCAAGAGATGGAAGCAACCCAAGTGTCTATCAACAGATGAATGTATAAAAAAAAATGTGGTATATACATAAAATGGAACATTATTCAGCCTTTAAAAGGAAGGGAATTCTGACTTGTGCTACAACATGGATAAATCTTGAACATGCTAAGTGAAATAAGCCAATCACAAAAAGATAAATACTGTATGATTCCACTTATGAGATATCTAGAGTAGTCACATTCATAGAGACAGAAAGTAGAATGGTAGTTGCCAAGGACTGGGGGGAGGGAGGAATGGGGAGCTGCTATTTAATGGGTATGGAGTTTCAGTTTGGGAAGATGAAAAACTTCTGGAGATGGATGGTGGAGATGGTTACATTATGATGTGAATATACTTAATACTACTAAAGTATATACCTTTTTAAAGTTTCCTTAAAACAAGAAGAAAAAAAGAAAAAGTGAATCCTCATTGCCCTGACTTTAGGATTCATCCAGTAACTCCCTATAGTTTATGATACCTTCCTCATAGGAAGTTAGGAAGCTGGAATTCAGGAACCCAAGGGCTTTCCTCTACTAACCAAGCACTTATGTGCCAGGTACTCTGAGACTCACGAAGACATGTAAGGTAACACCCGGGGTCCCAAGGAGCTTAAGGTAGAAAATATACATGTAGGTACACAACTACTGTGCCAGGAAGTAGAAATCGCTAGGTGCCATTACGACAAATAAGATGCCTGGTGATTCACAAAGAGGCAAAGCAAGATGGAGTTGAGTACTGAGCTGACCTTGGGTAAAGACGTGGAAAAGGTGAAAGGAAGGGGCAAAGGGAAAGTAATGGGTGCTGTTTCAGCAGAAACAGGAAGCATGGCATAGCTCAGTCCTTGATACCCTGCTCATATCCCTCAAGCCTTACTGCTTCATATACTCGACCTCACTGCCAACTGCCAGTATCGAAACCAAAGCCTAGGAGACTGCAGGCTGCTCTGGTGAATGAACACTTCTTGGAGGCAGCACTCAGCCAATGACTGATGGAAGCTGGTGTATCAATATCCCAGCTTTCTTGTTCCCAGGTGGAATGAAGTGGGTGCTCAATACTCTCTCCTCTCAGGATCAAGCTCCAATTGCCCACAGTTGTTGCTGGCTCACCCTTCCTTTCCCTACTTACTCCCCTACTCCTCTAGTATTTCTTGCATTTCCAAATTAACCATGTGCACCTGAAACTTGAACCCAAAATAAGACACATGGAGAGACAGAACATAAGAGAACTATCCACTAATTATTTGTATATATAATATATACTTTATTACTCAACATCTCATTTCATGCTCTATGTTTAAAAGAGGCTATAAAACTTCATATAGAATTCCTGCTATCCTGCCCCCCCCCATACCTTTCACAAACTAAACAAACAAAAAATAAATATTACCAAAAAAGTGGAAAAAAAAAGTGAGACAGGCTTGGCTTATCAGAGGTTTACTATTTCATAGGGAAGGATCAGCGCTTTCCTATTTGCTCAGCTATTCAGCAGGGAAAGTCATGAAAAGGTAAAAGGGGACTCCCAGATAGAATGCTGACTCAGAAGACTGCCTTAGAAGGGAGAAAACTCCCACAGAGTAAAAGCCTTTGGAATTTAATATGACAGCTCCTAAAATATGTAGAAAATGCATATAATGTACAGGCGTCCCCTCAGGGATAAGGGCAATTCCTGACCCTCTCTTCCTCTTGGAACCATCACAAGGGAACAGCTTGGGATGATTTCCAAGGCGGGGGTCTTGACCCACTGCCGTCTAGTCAGACCGTTTAAGTGTTCACACACAATGGAATCACAAAACTGCCCTGGAATTCATTTATGGCATTTCATGGTTGTCTGCTGGGCCCCTTCCAACATTAAAAGTTGGCTGCCTGGGATACTGCTGACTGTGGGAGACTGAAATAAAAATGATTTCATCCTTTATTCATTAAACAAATATTTATCCAATGTCTACTATGTGTTGGGCACTGTTCCAAGGAAAGAAATACAGAATTGATCAAAAAAAGATGCTGTCCCTGCCCTCATGAAGCTTCTTATATTTTACTGGGTGAGGAGAGAAAAAATTACATGCACAGGTAATGTGAGAGGACAATGGGTAGAGGGAAAAAAGTTAAGAATATATGTGTGTGTCTGAGGGTGATAAGTATTATAAGGAAAAACTAAATAAGAGATTAAGACATTTATAGGGTGCTGGGGGTTGGCTGTTTCTGTTTTACATAGACTGATCACACAAGGCCTCTCTGATAACACGGCATTTTGAGCAGAGCTCAAATGAGGGAACAAGTTGTATGAATATCTGGGAGAAGAGTCCTCCAGGAGAGGGGACAGAGTTCTGGGCTAATTTAAAATATAAGATAGCCAAAAGAGCTCCTTTGTCTTTTTTTTTTTTTTTTTAAAGCTTTGCAAAAACACAGATTATTTCAAGCAGGCTGAGTGCAGAGATACGTTTAACATCATCAGAGCAGTTGGAAATGTTTCCCTCTTCTAAGGGTGTATTGGAAGGGCCCATCTCCTCCTAGAGTCAGGTTGGAGCCTCCGACTGAGGCCGTGCTAATAGATAGCGCTCAAGAGGACAACTGGGGCCTGCTAGTCTTGACTGGCCTTCTCACAGATATTTAAATATTTGCTGTGGGATGCAAGGAAAAATTAGCAAGAGAACAAAGACCAATCACTACCAAAAGAAACCCAAACTGCATAATTATATCCAAATCTAGAAACACGGTAATTATTTAAATTAACCAGAAAATTGAACTTCACCTCAAGTGGTAAAACTGAAGGTACAGGTTTCTCTTTCTTTTCCCTTTTATGTTGATATCTAATTTCAAATAGTCTCTGCATATTTTTACCCAGGGAATCTGGTGTTGAATCTGAGGCTGACCTGGAGTAAAGACTTCTGGCCTAGATAACAGAATGGTTCAGCAGCAGATAACCCTTTAAAAATAAGTAAGCTATAGAAACGTAACAGAAAAAATGTTTGCCCCAAATTCCCACATTTAACATTTTTACTCCCTTTTATGATGGAGGACTTCACAAGCAAAATTCATATTTAAAACACTAGCATGAAAAAACTTAAAAGATTGCTGTTCAGTTCTAGAAAAGCCAAAACTAAACAAGGTGATATTAAGTTTATGGCCAAGTGTGACATGAATATAAAGAATTACCTTCTCTTAGGTCTTTTCTTTGACTTTATTCTAAACACTGTGGGGGGTAAATGACAAATTAAAAACTCACTTCGTAAGAATTTTTTATCTTATATCCTGAGATGAATAGGGCAGGGCTCCAAAGAAGGAGAAAAATATTTTAGATAGTCTATTATCTAGGCAATTAAAGCCCCATTTCCCAAAATGCTCTAGATTGTGGGGGGGAGGGGGGAGTGGGAGACCCACAGTCTAGTTCAGATCAGAGAGTGGGAGACGTACTTAATTTTAATTTGGCTTTGTGAGTAAGATGGGTGACACCACTGCAAAAAGTTGTGTGGATTCTTATCATCCATAGTCCTTCCCAGCTGGCCACAAAGGTTAAAGGCTGGCCACACTCTGACCCATCGCACTGTTCATTCATTCTATAGTTACTCATCTCGATGCAGCCTAGTTGTTCTAAGCAGAGTTAACCTGAGGCCAGTGCATTTTATCTAATCCACTGTCAGTATGGAATATTAACTTGGTCAAGCAGAGAGACTCAACAGCTGTTCTTCTCAAAGGTTTTAAGAAGGAACCACCCCATCAACACGAAAAAAGATGACTGCATTAGCACTCTGTCACTGTCTCATTTGCCCACACATCCTTGTCAATCCATTAACTGTTATAGAAAACAGCCATTCACCTAACACTTCCTACTCGCTGGTAGGCTGCTGCAGCGCCCAGCATCCCCTCCAGGAACTCCTGCCCCTTTCATCTCTTAGCATTCTCCAACTACACAAGCTCTGAGAAAGACCTTTTTCTATTTGCAAAAGCATTTTGTTAGCTGAATACCCAGAGAAGTCCATGCCTCTAAATATAGAAACCACCTTTATAAAGTCACCCAAGTCACAAGAAATTTTTAATAACCTGAAGGTTCAAAAAGGGATCTAAGCATGGCCTGGCCTGCCACAGCAAAACTGCCTACTATTTAGAAGCCGCTTAGAAGAAAATAGAAGAAAAAAACAAGCAAAAAAAAAAACCAAACCCAAATTTATTAGCCATCTCCTAGCAAAGCAATTATTTTTCTTTCCCCAATACCTTTACTTAAACGTGTTACAGATAACCCTACCAACAATACTCTAAGGCCTCACCGGGCTTAGAAACATAGATATAAACAGAAACTGCCCCCTTCTTCCCACCCAAAATCCACATTAAAAAGAGGAAAATGTTCTAGACAGCAGGAGGGATAGGCCATCACCTGATATGCTTCAAGAATAACCCATTAATGTCTTAACATGCCTTTTGCTAACAGAAAAATCTCTTTCTGCTCCATTTCTAAGTGTATGTATATGTATGTGTGAGTGTGTGCCTGTGTGTTTGCACAGCATGTGATATTCCCAAACATTTGTTGATAAAGGAGGGAACATATCAATCAGTTACTATTCATTGAGCACTGATCAGCTTGCAGTTTTCTCCAAGGCTCCTTCCATAGTAATTGATTAATTAGTTTCTAGTAAATGGCATGCCTGTCTAATTAACTGTATTGACTAGGACAGAAAAACCAGATGGCTCTTCTAGCCTAGATTAGTAACAGCAGAGAGACTGCTATTTAAATCTTACTTCTCCCTGACCTTTTGTCAGAAAGGGGGAAAAAATGTGATTGAACAATTTCGTGATGTGCTCTTTCGAAGACGATTTCCAGAAAAAGGTTTGCAACTGGTATATAACATTCATATCATTTACACCCAGTACCTGCCACAAATGCCATCCAAAGCAATCAGAGCAATTTTGCTTTGGAAATGGCCAAAGCCATAGGTTCATTTTATCTTATTTGTGGTAGGAGAAATAGAATTCCCTTGGCTCCCAACAAAAAAAAAGCAAATATGCATACCCATAAGACTACCACTATTTTTCGCTCATGTGAAGTTATATGACTCTTGCTTCTTTGGACCACTTGCCATTTCAGCTCCATTAGGCTCCTGGAATTCTTTGGTTTATTAAAATAACCAAGTAGGAAAAATTCTATTAATAAAGAAACATTCCGTAAAGACAGCCAGTAATAGTCAAATAATCAGTAGTAATGTAATGTAAAAATGCTCTAAATCTCCAACAGCTGCTTGTAACAAAGTAGCCCGCATTACTTAAAGATAACTTTTATTTGGCAAAACTCTTTTGGAAAGCTGGGCAAGATACCGGCAATCAACCCAATGGCCTTCAGCACTGATCTCTCCTCTGTGGGCCTCAGCTGCTGTATGTGGGGCCTGCGCAGGGGAGAGAGGGCATCACTCATTTCAGTCTGTATATGAGTATTTATACTCTTCATTCAAGCAGGGGTCTCCAACCACTCAGAGGAAGAAACATTACTTTCCTTTTGCTCCAAAGTTTGAAGACACCCAAAAAAGAGGCAAATCTCTAAGGAAGATAGGGCAGGTAGAGCAGGAAAGGTTATACTTTGTTCCCTTCATGAATATCTACTGGCAATTTCCTAGTAGAGTCCAGCCTCCGAGCCAGGAACTATACATTAAAGTGTCATGTTGTGTCACCAGATCACATCAATTCCTTTTGTTCCTAAGAAGAAATCAGCTCACCTGTGTTCCTTCTCAGCTAAACACTTATAAACCAGACCATATGTAGCAGGCCTGCTATACTCCAGAACCTTTTAAGCTTTCTAAGCTCTAAAACTGCATCAGTAAATGGACTAAAAGATCTAATCCATGGGTAAAATCTTTTTTTTTTTTTAAGATTTTATTTATTTATTTATTTGAGAGAGAGAGAGAAACAGCGTGAGAGGGGAGAGGGTCAGAGGGAGAAGCAGGCTCCCCGCTGAGCTGGGAGCCTGATGCGGGACTCGATCCCAGGACTCCAGCATCATGACCTGAGCCGAAGGCAGTCGCTTAACCAACTGAGCCACCCAGGTGCCCTCCATGGGTAAAATCTTAATTCCGGATTGCTAACACCCGAAACCTCTAGGCTTCAGGAATTCCACAAACTCTTTAATTTTATATGCAAAATGATGTGCATATGTACATTTTCCTGAAATAAGTGTTCATAGCTTTTAGATTTTCCAAAAGGTTCAGGATTCAAAAAGAGTTAAACATGGCTGATTTAATAAGTTATTTTCATGCTACCTTCTCTCTATAAAATAAAAGCCTCTAAATAATTCACCTAAATAATATATACAACAAGGAATTCCTCTTCCTCATTAGCCCAGGGAAGATGCTACCAACACTTGCTCTGTAGAACCCAGGCGGCGGCATGTCTATGAGGAAGAGAAGAGAGCACGATCACAAGCTAGAGACTTAGTTTAGTCCTCCTTCTGTGACCGAAGACATCTGCAGTTTCAAACACTATAGGCCTCAGCTTTGCATTGGGGTGAAATCTGTCACTGGGAGGATTCAACATGAAATGAAAGTGCTTCAGAAGCTAAAGGGCTAAAAATATACAAGACAGAAAAGAAAGATGAGGAGAAGAAAATATTAGCCTCAAGTCACAAAGCAAGTCAAAGGATGGACCCCAAGAGTGTGTCTTTATTTCAGATTGAGGAGAACATACGGCATGCCATGCCCCCAGGGAGCTGAAGCTGGGCTACATGGGAGTTATAAAAAGAGCAAAGTTACAACTTTGCGTGCTTCACTGGCTCGGAGCACCCTTACTGGTGAATGCCGGCACCTCTGCCATACCCGTATAACGTCAGCACAGAAAGGCTGAGTGATGATGTAATGTCTGGGGCCAGGCCACGTATTCAAGGCCATTTTGCTGGACTCACAGGGAACAAGTCAGCTCTCCTCTCCAGGGGATAAGTTAGAATGATTTCATTCTCATGATTTTGGGGGCCCTGCCATCTACCAAGTTTAAAAGAAAGACCTGTGTAAGTCATCCCAGTACTCAGACACTCCAATGCTCAGCCCTTTCAAAAAAACGTTATCATACTTTCCCTTTCCTTCCCCATCCCATTTTCAGCAAGAGGTAGGAACTTACAAGGCCAGGCTTTAGGTAAGACCAAAGCAAAAGAAGATTTAAAAATTACCACACCAAGGACGCCTGGGTGGCTCAGTGGGTTAAGCATCTGCCTTCGGCTCAGGTCATGATCCCGGGGTCCTGGGATTGAGCCTGCTTCTTCCTCTGCCTGTGTGCTCGCTCTCATGCGCACGCTCTCTCTCTCTCTGACAAATAAATAAATAAAATCTAAAAAAAAAAAAAAAATTACCACACTGTCCATTTCCAGGCTACATATACCTGTTAGCCTGAAAGACTTACTTCCCAGAAGCCTGAGCTCTGCTGGACTGTCACAATCTAGGGCAAGACCCATTTAAGGAATTGTGAGAGAAAGGGAACAAAAGCTGAGTGCTGCCTTCCAAGTGTGTGCCAGAAGAGCTAGCAGGTGGAAACTTGGCCTTCTTTTTTAACCCTGTTAAGAGACTGGCTCACTAAGTATGCAGAGGGGAGTGTGAAGCTTGGGAGACAGAATGTATCCAGTCAGGCTTCAGGGAGAAAAGGAAAAACAAAAAAATCCAAGTAGGATAGTGATAGCAAGGAGGAGAGCCCTTGGATTCAGGCAGCCTCCAGAGGAAGGAGCGCTATTTTACTGCAAGATTTTTTTTTTTTTTTTAAGATTTTATTTATTTCAGAGAGAGAAAGCACAAGCGGAGGAGACAGGCGAAGGGAGAAGGAGAAGCAGACTCCCCACTGAGCAGGGAGCCCGTTGCGGGGCTCAATCCCAGGACCCCAAGATCATGACCTGAGCTGAAGGCAGACGCTTAACTGACTGAGGCACCCAGGTGCCCCAACTGCAAGATTCCTCACCATACTTTAAGACTAGAAGGTGGGCTGGTTTAAAAAAAAAAAAGTTCAAGGGTGTATTTGGCCTAATTGTTTCTGTTGCTATTCAGCCAATCTGATGTCACTTATGCCACTTTATCTGATGACAGAAGTTATTAAACTTGAATAATAAAAAGATTATACTAGAAATAAACAAACTATGTATTTTTGGCCAAAAGTAGGGAAGAGAGATTGTAATAGGGCTTTCAATGAAAATCTTGGGACCCCTCGCTGGCTCAGTCCGAAGAATGTGCGACTCTTGATCTCAGGGTCAGGAGTTCGAACCCCACATTGGGTGTAGATTACTTTAAATAAATAAATAAATAAATAAACAAACAAGAAAAAAAGAAAATTTCAAAGAGGTTATTATCCAGCAGTCATGTGTCTTTTTTTTTTTTTTTTGAAAGATTTTATTTATTTGAGAGAGACAGACAGACAGAGACTGAGCATGAGCGGGGGGGGAGGGCAGAGGGAGAGGGAGAGGGAAAAGCAGACTCCCCACTGAGTACAGAGTGGCAGTCATGTGTCTACCACAGCCTCTGGCACACAGTAGATGTTCAGTAAGTATCTGCTTTCTTATTTTAAAAGATGGGGGGAGAGGAAGGCATAAGTAAGGGTCCAGTAGGAGACAGGAAAAAGAAACTTGTCTCCACTCACCTATGAATTAGTGACAGACCAAGAAACCAAAAATGAGAGAAAAATATCCTGCTGAAGCACAGAGGTTTCAAACTGGTGGCTCTTAATGCAGAATAGGTATGATGTACAGATTTATTTTATCCATACAATAAGGTATTAATTTGTCGTGATATTTAAAAAAAAATCAGGGGATTTTACACAAAAATCTTGATTTCTGGCTTCACTTGAAAAAATTCAGAGACCCATGGCAACAATGGGCTGAAGCTGAGCCAAAGCTTCATTTAGATGTGACTCATTTATATTTAGATGGGGTGGGATCTCTATAGTTGGCCACAGTCACCACCCCCCCCATTGATGATTTCTAACACAGTTCACTCATTTTTGCTGCTTGCCTTGCTTCTCCTGGCATCAAGATGCAGAGTGAGAAGGGCTGTAATGTGACTCTTGATCTTGGGGTTGTGAGTTTGAGCCCCCCCACCCCGTTGGGTATAGAGATTACTTAAAAATAAAATCTTAAAGGGCGCCTGGGTGGCTCAGCCATTAAGCGTCTGCCTTCGGCTCAGGTCATGGTTCCAGGATCCTGGGATCGAGCCCCACATCAGGCTCTCTGCTCCACAGGAAGCCTGCTTCTCCCTCTCCCACTCTCCCTGCTTGTGTTCCCTCTCTCGCTGTGTCTTTCTCTGTCAAATAAATAAATAAAAATAAAAATAAAAAAAGATAATGCCTCCCCCCTTTCTTCCTCTTTAAAAAAAAAAAAATCTTAAAAAGACAAAGAAAAGGCTCTACTGAGATCTCAAAAATCTGGGTTCCAGTCCTGGCTCAGCTACAAACATGTCTATGTCTTGACTTATGTCCCCAACATCTCTGAGCCTCAGTTTTCTCATCTATAAAAGGAGGGTTATCCAAAATGATCTCTAATAGCTCTATAATTAGAATTCATCTACAATGGTGGCGCTGAGCATAGGGGAGACACAAAGTAGGCTCAGCCTATTTCACACTCTATTCCCTGAGTCCAATTTCTTGAAATGTTAATTTCATTTGGAGGCTAAAGAAGTACCTAGTGAACCTAGGATAGTCTAAAAGGAAGTATAGGTTCTCTGGCACAGCATCTGGTCCATTTGTGTGGAAAGACTATCTCACTGTAATTAAAAGCCAGAAGACTGTCTCAGATAGATAGATCACTTAGTGTCTTTCTTGACCATGTTCATTCCTATTATGGAAATTCTCAGATTCCTCCCTGGGATGGTTATCCAGCCCATGACTAAATGAAGAGTTCCAGAGCACAGAGCCTCCAGCTGTGGGTGTTCTCAAAGTATACAAGAACAAGAGCAAATATAAAGACCAGTATAAGGAAAGAGTAGGCTTTGGAATCTGAAAGCAGCAAAAAAGATCCTGTCTGGACTAGTCAAAGACTATACATGTCAGTCCTGCAGATCACTGTAACCGTGGCACCTGCTGCTTTAGCTCTGAGTGTGGAAAGAGCTGGTAAGTCACCTCTTAGAGACATGTTCTAGCAATGAGACAGTAAGTTTGGCCTCCTGTACAGCACTTACAAAGTATAAGCTCAGTAGGTTATTCTCACTAAAAATCTATTACTTAATTCATCCTCATAAAGTCTCTGGAAGTTGAGCAGGAGAAAACGGTACTTATCAATTCTGATTTATAGTTAGAGAAGCCTTAGGCCTAAAAAGCTAAAAACCACACATTGACCAAAGTATTCAAGATTTGCTTCAACAAATATTTATTGCGCTCTCACTGTGTGCCAGGTATTAGAGACAAGGCAATGATGAGTTCACCACACTTCATTTCTTAGTCCCTAAGGAGTGAACAAAATAGCCTAACATAAATCTCTGTACTTCCTATTCCCTAGGTTATATACTTCTGATAATCTCTATGGGGACTATGAAAAGACTTGAAAGACTTTACCTCTGAAATGGATCCAAAGTTAGATTCAATGACTTTGCATCCTCCTTCACAGAAAACCAAAAAACCAATTTGGTTTGTCAGAGAGGATACAGTACCCATAGACTTTTCCCATTGGATAAAAAATCACACATAAGGGGTGCCTGGCTGGTTCAGTTGGAAGAGCATATGACTCTTGATCTCAGCAGGGTCATGAGTTCAAGCCCCATGTTGCGTGTAAAGATTACTTAAATATTTTTTTTAAAAACACACATAATAAATTAGTCAAATCTGAATAGAAAAAAATGAAAAGCTATTCAATGTTTTTATCACTATATATAACCTTAAAGACAAAAACAACTACATCTTGGTAATGTACATAACCAGGACAATCACAAAATACCTACTCAGGTTCTGCCTGTGGCAATACCTGTCCCAGTGTATCTGGGCAAAATGGGTATTATAATCCAGGTCAGAGGTTCTCAGTCAGGGGCAATTTTCCCCCAGGGGACATATGGCAATGTCTAGAGACATTTTTGGTTATCTGGGGGATGACAGGGGAGACATCACTGGCATCTAGTGGGGACAGGCCAAGGATGCTACTATCTTGAAATGCATAAGAGAACCCCACAAAACAAAGAATTATTCAACCAAAATGTCGATAGTACAGAGGTTAAGAAACCATGGTCTGGGTGTTCTACATATTGGCTAGAGGCCTGTATTCTGGGTCTTTTAAGGGCTCCATGCAGAAAGGTTCTGGCTGATAATATAGGAACTGAAAGAAAATTAACATCTATTCTCCTTTACATCTTTCATTGTTCCCTCAGCCCCTGTGTTTCTGGTGATAAAGCCTAATAAACCATTACATTTAGCGCCTGTTTTTTATTGGTCATTGAAATAAGAATCACATGCATAAGAGAGTGACAGAAGATAGAAAAATTAACTTAAAAGCAAGGAAGAAAGGCAAGAAGGAAGAAACGAAGGGGGAAAGGGAGGGAGAGGCTTGGTTGTCATTTCTACATCTAAGTGAAACTAAATCAACCAATCTAAAGAGTAGACAATGATCTGTTCTGTTGTGAGTCTGATCGTATCTAGAAACGGCTTCTTCCCACCCAAGAAACAAATAGCCTGTAAAAACTAAGTAATTTCAGGCATTATGGCTTCTTCAAGGAGACATCGCTTATATAACTGAGGCCACCTAGTGGTTTCCAGTGTGGATCACAGCTAAGTAGGCCCTAGGAATCTGCCTTCAACATAAATTCTGAATTTAGATATATATTCTCTATTTACAAAAGGGACATCCCTAGTCTAGACAACTTAAAAGATATTTTCAGTTTCTTTAACATTTAACTCAATTCAACAAGCATTTATTGTGCTCCTATTGCATACACTAGTCTTTAAGCTCTGATATTGGGGAGCATGTAGCAATTCCAGTCTAGGAAGAAAAACCCTAGGTTCTGCCTTCAAAGGGCAGGGTCTTCACAGGTTCCCCAAGAACTGTTTCTTTTATGTCCCTTGCCCACAAATAACTCTAAAGAGGTGAGTACAGCATGTGAGAATTATGTTAAAGATGATGATGAGCCCAAAGAGAACACTAAGCATTAGCAAGAGACTAAGGTCTCTCTTTTTCCAACCTAGATGTGAAACAGCCGAATATTTGTTCTGTTTGAGAAGGGAAAAAAAAACACCTATGTGTTTGTTTCATCAATGCTTCTTTATATTCATCTTTACTCAGCTTGATTACTGAGACCAGTCTAACTGGTCCACTCACTGACACCCACACACCCACTTCAGAACTTCTGTGGCCAAGACAGGTGCAAGAATGCCAAGCATGTTTTTTAAACTGCCAGCTCTAAGTCAACATCAGTATCTCAATTCCCAGTGAGACTATGAAAAGACTGGAAACACAGCTTGGGTTCTCCTTCCCAGTTGTGATGCTGGCAATAAAAAGTAAAAGAGTCAGCATCTGGCTTCCTCTCAAACAAGGCTGCTCAGCCCATCTCATCCAAGAAAAAGGTGCCATCCAAAGGGGCCATTCAGGATATATGTCTCTCGGATGGTACTTAGGGTGTTTCATTCATCATTGTGTTTTATTGATACACACACACAAAAAGTCTCTCTTTTTTTTGGCAGGCTAATATTCCATGGACTCCCTCCTTTCTTTTGAAATGACACATTCTTAGAACCTTAAAGTCTGTTCACAAACCTGGCAAAGCTAGGCTGCTCAGAACTACACTGTGGCCAGCCTTGGTTCATGGTGTGTGCCTTATATTACTCAATGGAAACTCTGATGAAGAGACTCAATATTATGCTAGAATGTCCAGAGACACTGTGTGCCTCAATTGTTTCTACCTGACATGATGCTAAGGAGAAATAAAGACCAGCACAGAAGGAGCAATCTGAGAGGAAAGCACGAATGTGGGATGCAGGAGACAGAGGGCACCTACCTGGTCACGATCCCCTGCAAAGCAGCAACTTTTCATGGTGCAAGAGTTGAAGTAACCCTGATTGTCAAACTGGAACACAGGCAGGCGGGAGTGGATGTCATAGAGCACAGGGGGCAGGCGACGCCTCAGGGCCAGGAGCTGGGTGCCGTTGCTGTTGAATCGCACGCTCATGGCACTCTGCAGGGACAGATTGCCACCATAGCGCAGGAGAGAACTGGAAGGCAGGAAGCACAGGGATTGGGCATGAGGCAGGCTGGACAAGAGTCTGCAAAATGACCACATTTACTTCTTCCCAAAATGTGTCCAGAATCTCCTGTCAGGCTTCTACATCTGAAAGGTATTTCAGAAGGTTAACAATGGGATAAGAATGGCTCCTTGATTTCATTAGAGTAAGTTATCTAACCTATCAGCTCCTCTTTTCAATCTCCAAAAGGTGAATTACCAGTAAACTTACAGGAAATAGAGAACAAAAGCATCATGAAAGAAAAGACGTATTAAAATGATTCGTTTTTATTTCATTTGCCTGAGCCAACTACATAATCAAGTAGATACTCACACTCAGCAAGTCCCTGCGAGGTGAGTCGTGTCCACTCTAACTGGCTAATCATGGATGACATTTAAGGGACATATTTATCCTTGTATTAGAGATACAAAGCACCTTAGCAAGAAAAGCAGATACTTTACTGTTTATTCTGGGTCTATTTTATTTTATTTTTTTATTTTATTTATTTGAGAGAGAGAAAGAGAGAGACAGAGCACGAGAGCGGGGAGGGTCAGAGGGAGAAGGAGACTCCCTGCCGGGCAGGGAGCCCCCAATGCTCGATCCCAGGACTCCAGAATCATGACCTGAGCCGAAGGCAGCCGCTTAACCAACTGAGCCACCCAGGAGCCCCGGTATTTTTTTTTTTTTTTAATAATCATTTTATTACTGGGGTGCCTGGGTGGCTCAGTTGGTTAAGCATCTGACTTCAGCTCAGGCCATGATCCCAGGGTCCTGGGATTGGGCCCCTTGTCGGGCTCCCTGCTCCGCGGGGAGCCTGCTTCTCCCTCTGCCCCTCCCCCAACTCATGCTCCTGTGCACTCTCTCTCTCTCTCTCAGATGAATAAATACAATCTTTTAAAAAATCATTTTATTACTTAAGCATTTATTTTTGAATTTTTAATCTGTTCACAGGAACTTTATATTCTACATGGCATAACCAGACAGTAAATATTAAACAAAAAATTTCAATTAAATGCAGGGCAAGTAGTGTAACAATTAGAAAAGCAAGATGACTTGTTTTCCTATACAATTCCCAACAAGGTTATATGTACTTTGGTTAATATATTTATCTATCTTCACTAGGGAGAGTGATATGCTCTGGTTCACCTACTATTCTTCTGTAGACTCATAATATTCCTAACATTAAAAAAAAAAAAAAACTCAGTATGATTCCAAATAATTTCCTTTGATGACTCAGAAGATACTTTCAATTTTACAGTGAACCAGGATGGCCATGAACATTAACAATTATATAGTACTAAGTAAAAAAGGGCGCATATCTATGTGTATATCTTTCAGTAATTAGTACCCTTGATTAGCTAGACTCCATTTTATTATGAAGGGATGAACTACTCACTGACCACATCATAACCAACTTCTTTTGTATTCTGGGTTCAATTCCTGGGGCACTGAATTACTGGTAGGAAAGTGAGGTTAAGTATAGACATTGGGAGTGGTACAGAAATTCATGTGACATCAAAACTACAAACTCATTTTGCCTCACACAGACATTGTTGTCCTAATAATCCTAGTAGTTTTAGGAAAAAACAGTTTATAAATTCCAGGGAATCACAGAGCTGGAAAGGGCCTTGAGAGACCTAAATTAGAGCCTGGCAGATTTATCTGAACATTTCTACGGAAGTTTTAATAGCATTTTACCAAGTGAAAACTTAAAAGAGCTATATACTACCAGAAGAGATTTAATATTGAATGAAGACAACACATTTTCTTTTTTTGGCATGAGCGTGATGGGTAAGATTAAGAGGACAGGAAAGGAGATATCCCGTGGGAAAAGGAGCCCCTGGAACCACGTCCAAAGGCAGCTGCCAACCTGGCCTAGTCATCAAAACCATCTATATCCCCACTAGCGCGGGTCAGTGCTGTGTCTTCCAGAGCAGTCTTCTCTCTTGAGGGAGGCATGCCCTGGTACGTGGCAACAAGGCTTGGGGCCAAACAGGCTTTAATCCTTTTAGGATTGAAAAGAGAGAAAAGACTTAGGAAACCGACCCTAGTACTCCAAACATCAAGGAGAAGGCTGGTAGCCCTGCAGGCCCCAAGTAATAATCTCTGCAAAAAAATGTTCTTATAATGGTCCTAAACAGAGGCCACACTCACTCACATACAGAGAATGAATGACGGGGCTGTTAGAGTCCAGGCATTTCCTTTACAGCGTGCCCTAGCTGCCACAGGCATGTGGTGTTATCTAAACACTGAGCTCAAAAACAATGAGAGGCTTTCAATCTAACATCAGCATGGAGTGTACAAATAAACCACCATCTGTAGGACTGGAGAGGAGCTGGGGGTGGAAACAAGATTGAACAAAAAGAAACTTGGCCAGCCCCACCAGCAACAGCAGCAGGGATTTGCATCAGCTCCAGCATCCCTGACAGGACAGCTGGGGCCTCTGGCCAACGCTCATTCCATCGGTTAACAGGAACTTCCTCTGCTGATTCTAGTCAGACCTGTAGAAGTCTACTCAGGACAGGCATCGAGCCCATCCCACCCCCACTGGAGCTCCCTGACCTATGTCTGTATTCTAGCCACTCTACAGAGGCCTGTTTGTGTGCTCTAGGAAAGTCACTAACTTCTCTTGCCTGTGCTTCTAGGCAGGGAACTCCTTTCTCTCACACAGAGGGTAGGTATGTAGAACTCGCTCCTGGAGTGTTTGGGGGTGCCAGCTGAAGAGCAGCAGCTGCTAAAACGGAACACTTCTTGTTTGGGCACAAAATTCAATTCCTTCCAGAGGGCAGAATGATACCCGAAATCCAGAAAGTGAACTATGTTAACCATGATTTCTCAGCAGGGGTTCTACAGCTGGCTCTTCCTGATGCAAATGGTAAGGATGATCTAGTTCATTAGGAAGAAAAAGCTTAGAAGCAGTTTGCCCTCACAGTCAAGATATAAAGACTATGTCAAAGATGCTATAGTTTAAGGTTCCAAATGTAATGTGCCTGGAGAAATCATCTGGGACTCTTTAAAAATGTGGATCCACCCCCAGATATTCTAATTCAATCTGGGAAGTGGGCCCAGGAATCTGAATTTAACAACCCCAATTAATGCTGATGCATGTGACTTTCTAACCACTTTGAGAAACATGGCTCCATTTTGGGATTTTGGGGGAGAGGAAGCAGGAAGAGACGGGAGAGTGGGGCCAGGGGGAAAACAAGGTGGAAAGAAGGCAGATTACCAGAGGTTCAACAAAAAACAACACAATATGGCACTTTTTACAGCCCCATGTCTATTAGCAGAAAGGACTCTAATTCCTTTTAAAAAATCAGAGTTCCTCTCTACCAACAATGCCTGAAATGTCTTTTTCCTGTCATCAATACATTCCCCAAAGGAGAAGTTTCCCATTTCCTCTTGGAGAACTGAGGGAAGACTGCCTCAATCTTTTGGAGATGATGGAGATTGAGGTCACTATCCCCACTCTTCAGAGAAATGGCCACCATTATGCACCCAGACAAGATGAGCAGTATCTTGAAAGAATGAGCAACAAGTTAAGATGAATTCAACTCAAAATATCCCTATTTAGAAAAAGAAAAGCAATAAATCTATTCCCAACCTATCTTCAACAAATGATCTGTCATAAAATGCAACAAGAATGGGGTAGGAGGTAATCCAAGGGTCAGCATGTAAAAGATCCAGGACGAAAAGCAAGAGAACCACAGAACAACAGGAAAATATTTCTCACTAGTGTGGTCTCCTGGATTTTTCCTTTTTTGCTCCCTCCCACCCCCAGTATTCAAATGGATTTCTTTATTGCTCTGGCAGAGTAAAAAGAACATTTTTAAAAGTACTTGGCCAAGGCTAAGGCCTTGGAATAGAAGAGAAACAGGCTAAGGCTGTTTCCAAGGAAAGTAACTGGGAGTATCATGTTCAACACAAGACAGGGCATTGATAACGTTTCCAAGATCAGATTCCACGAACCTAGATTTCCATAAATCCATGACTAAGTAATTCATCCGATGGTACCAACATGATTTACCAATGCCCACCAGCATAAACTTCCTTACAGTTTCTAAGTGAAAGCTTTAATAACACCCATGAAATACATTGTTATTCCAAATCACAGACATCAGACTTGGTATTGTATAACCAGAGTGGCAAAATCAAGGTCCTATATAGGTGGGGGGAAATCTCTTCCTCCCCTCCAGTTTCTGCTGTAGGATGGGATGACCTATAGGAATAAAGGACATTTTGTACTTGCACAACCCATAGAATATGACAAATCCTAGAGAACACTAGAATTAGGTAGAGAACACACAAGTTCAGGGAGTCACAGCCCACACCAATCCTATTTAAGTGTGTTCAGCGTCCCAATAATCCCTTAACCATTTCTTTTATGTGAGTTGGCAGGAGAACCTGGGCTTTCTCTTTTGTTCTTTCTACACAATCCTCAGTTCCAAGATTGAGACTTCTCTAGAGGAAGCCAGAACTATTAGACCACTAGTATGAGAGAGATACATTGTGATCTGTGTCTAAACAAACTCACTTTCCTCAGAACATGATTTTCTGCCAAACCTCTCTGGCTTGAAATATAGTTATAGGTTCAGTGTACCTGGTAAAATTTCCTTCCCTTCTTGAGCATCCAGAAATTTAAGTTTGACTGAAGCTGGCAAAAGGGCTTGATAAATTTCTGATAAAGAGATCTTTGGATAGGGGTGCCTGGCTGGCTCAGTCAGTAGAGCATGCAACTCTTGATCTTGTGGTTGTGGGTTTGAGCCCCACAGTGGGTATAGAGATTACTTAAAAATAAAATCTTTTAAAAAAGAGAGAGAAATCTTTAGATGATCAAATGGCGTATCTAGTCCTCCCACAAAGCAAACGTGGATGGCAGGCATTGTAGTGTTTCTCATCATCTTCTTCCAGAACAGGGACATACCCAAAGTTGAAGTGATCTGGAATCTAAATTTTTGTGTTTGGTCCAGAGATCCCGAAAGCCACACAGAACC